GGGTGTGGATGTGGGTGTAAGTGGGTGGCTGAGTGTGAATGTGGGTGTAGGTGGGTGGCTGAGTGCGGGTATGGGTGTCGATGTTTACTAAAGGAAGAGATACCCACACCCTCTACGAATTTTTATCAGTTTAAAATATTTTTCACTTACAAACGTGATTTAATTGTATTCATTTTATCTTTATATTTCGCTGTTACACTTGCAACATTTTGTGAAAGATGATCAGATTTTCCATTAATTTCTAGCTGAAAACAAAAAATGAGAAAATCAAAAAGATTTCATAAGAAAATAATATCATAATTAAAAAAATAATTTTGCATTCAAGCGTGTTCAACATGCTTCGTTAGTACATAAATATATATATATATAGGGAATATGTGTGATTTTTAAGAAAAAGTAAAGCAATTTAAAAATTATATAAAAAGTCAATTGTGTTTTGATTTTTTTTATCAATACACAACTAAAACAAAATAAATACTATATAAATATTTTATTCTTTCGAATAGAACTTTATGTGTAAAGTTTTGTTCGAGAGAAAAAGTGAAATTTTCTATGATTTGTTTTTAATCTAATAAAAAATAAGAAAAACAATATCATTATTCAGTTAACGTTTTTTATTTTCCTTTGTTTTTATATAAGTTATATTTAACGATCATTAAGAACGAAAATATATAATGTGAATAAAACGAAAAAGAAAAATTATAAATATAAGTTTTGTTTTAAGTTTTTAATAATAATGGACCTGTGATGGGTGATAAAAAGCACTAGATTGTGCTTGTGGATAGTTCGTCTAGAATACACAGGGATTTAAGTAGACGAGTTGAATGATGTGAATTTTAAAAAAAAAAGTTTTCAAAAACTAGTTTTGATAAATATATAAGTGATTCATTCTAGTGAATATAGAAGAATAAAGAAAACAACAAACAATACCAGTTTCTTGCGTAGCTGAACTAGTCGAGTCATAGAATAATATGTTCGCGAATATAGAAATTGTATAAAAAACAGAAAAAAATTTCGTTTTTAATACATACCTTTTCTTTTTCAAGTTGCTCACAACGACGTAAAGTTTGTTCAAGTACAACTTGTACACGTTCAAGTTGAAGTGTAGCAGCTGTAACACGTTCACATACATCTTCATACTTTATTTTAAGTGATATTAAATCTTTTTCAAGTTGAGTAGAACGTCGACGTTCATGTTCTAATTCCGATGAATCATTTGGAATAGTACTTGAATCAAGCTAACAAAAAAAAAGTTTTATTTCAATTTTTCTATACTTATTTTCAAGATCAAATAAACATTTGAAATATATGTCTCAATAAAAATCAAAAACTGTTGATTTTTTAATCCAATATAAAAAAATTGGAAAAACGATATGTCCATATTTAGTGAGATTACATAATACGGCAATATGAGAAGATTTTTATGATTTCATGAAATGGTAGAGCGATACTGCTGTACTTAACAATAGTTGATGATACAACTCAAGTATGAATATTAGTGTAATCGATATGATGATATTTGAGTAATTTCTCAAGTAAAAGAAATTTCATAATCTTGCTTATAAACAAAATCAGAAGTTATATAGGAAGTCATACTTTTTCGGAATAGACTATATAAGATTTCGTGAGTACATAATAACCCATTTTAATAAGTATACTGATTTACTATCATAATTAAACGAAAGTAGGGGTGAGAAATTCCATTTTACACCGGCACAGTGTGCATTGAAGATCGATTTTTACTGATCTCCTCGACATATCTATACTGGTGCTACAGTGGGTTCATTGACAGTTTCTCAATAATTGCCCCGACACTACCCATCCCCAAACTAAAGTCTACAAAGAAATTTTTCCTATCTATTCGTTATTTTTTAAAACAATTCAAACTAAATATTGTTACTGTATTTTGTTCATGTAATTGTTTTCTTGCATTATCCAATTCAAATTTGATAGTATTCGAATATTGAAGTAATTCATTATACTGTTCGCGTAGTAATGAAAGTTCATTTTCAAGTTGAATTGTATTATTCTAATAAAAAATTTATTCGTAAAAACGAAACTAATTTTATTATACATACTCCTCTAAGTTCGAAATTTTTTTCGTGTCTACAATGACAAAACAAATAATTTTATAAAGAAAATTTTTATTTAATACTTTGATATTTCATTATCATCCATAAATTCATCCGGTAATTGTTTCATAGCTTCGTTCAATCGTCGATTACATGTTAAAATATGTTGACGTAAAACATCACATTTTAATTTAAGTCTTTCAATATTAAATTTAACAGTTTCATCGGAATGTTCAAACTAAAGAATTTTGTTTTTATAAATAACTCAAATGATCTATTTTACTTTTTGTTCAAGACCAACAATTTTATTTTCAGTTATTTCAAGTTCATGTCGAACACGATGTAATTCACGTTCAAGTGAACGTTGTTCAATAATACTAAATAATTGTGTTACATCAGGATTTGATGAATGTTGAGATCTATCCATCTGATATTAAAATCAAAGTTAAGAAAAAATCAAACAAAATCTATTTCATTATTTCTATTTTTGCTCAAACAAAGAACTTTCGATTCATATTTTCGATATTGTTCTTTATTGAGCATTTTACTTAATAAGGAGATAGAACGAATCTTATAGTCTACACTTACTTCTCTAGTTGAATTATAACTCTAGAATTTAGTGATTTATATTTTTTAAATTAAGTGTTTTTTTATTTCAATTTGATTAGTTTTTCTTTTTCAAGAAAGAAATTCTTACTATATATCGAAGAAGATCATTTTCTTCTTGTTGAAATGAAGATTTTAATTGAAGTTCTTGTAATTTAGCATCAGAATGTCGCATTTGATCAATAGCTGTTTGAATAACCGATGATGGAGACGATCCACCATATTGATCTAATTTTTCATTTAGTAATGTAAATGTATATTCAAGTCTAGCACGAAGAGTTTCTAATTCACGTTGCAATGCAACATTTTCTTGCATAAATTTTTGTGCAAGAAGATCATGATTTCCTTTAAAAAAGAAGAAAATGATTGATTAGTCAATTATTTTCTACTAAATGATTCTTTCAATAGCTTTTATTATATATCTATTACCAAATCAATAGATCAATGTCATACATATTACTAATTTTCCTTATTTGATCCTATACAAAAAAAGATCAATTCAAATCTCATTAGTGATGACTCATTTGGACGAGTAAAAAACTAAGAATTAGGACTATATACCTGTTTTTACTCGAGGGTAATGAGGAAATTCTCTCGTATAATTTCGGGCAAATTAAGTGAGCTCCAAATTTAGAGTTTACGAGTTGCAAGTTTTTCGACGAATTATAGCTTGTAACTATGAGCTTTTTTTTCTTAAGCATCACCAGTCGACTCAGTAGAGTCCAGAGTATCTATCAGAGCAATCAAAAACAGATGATTATAATTTTAGGCAGAGTTTTTCGCAAAAACTTAGATATCCGTAAACTCCAAATTTTGAAAAATCGGTCTAGATAGATATCATTGCATTTACATAAAACCTACATTTTAATTTCACACAAGATTGTGTACAGAATTATTCGCTCTACAATATTATCGAATTGAATCATTTTTACACAGGGACTTACGGAGATCTCAAATGCCTATTTATTCATCATTCACATCAATTTTTCACGACGCTCCAAGATTTTCTCACTATTCTCAAACGTAAATAGGGTACATCATTTCTAAACTTTGGTTCTAATCCTTCGTTTTTCCTATATGAAAGAAATTCTTTTTTACCTGTTGCATGTGTAATATCTCTAATATGATCTGTATATTCAGCTGGTGGGGCACATGTTTGATCAATAATATGTATTAATCGACTGATCTGTTCATTTTTTTCCATAATAATCTTATCTAATTGTCGATGAAATTCACTTTCAAGAAAACGATTTTGATTTTCAAGCATTATTGTTTGTTCACGAAGATGATGAACATCACGATCAGCATAATTAATCATTTCACGTATTTGCTAAAAATAAATCATCAATAATAATAATCTTACGTATTTTTTTTGCAAAGATTAAACAAACTTTCATTCCATTTAAAAAATCTTGATCATCTAAATTAAGATCTTGTAATAAATGTCTATATCGTTGTAAAATCGATATCATTGTTTGTCCTTTTAACCATAATTTCATAATAATTTCACGTTCTTGTCCTTCATGTAAATGAAATTCACGTTCAATAGCATTCATCACATCTTGATAAGAAAGAAGACCCTAAAATCGAAATAAAAACTTATCTATTTTTCTTTTTAAAATACCTATCAAATTCCTTTAGATGTTATTTATATAGTAAGAAAAACAAGAATTATTAGTACTTATCATTATTTATTTATCCTCACACTTTAATGTCATCAAACTATGTCATTAATATGAGACAAAGATTTTTCTTTTTCAAATGTGTTTATACATACTTTTAAACTAACAGACGATGGATAGACAGTTACTTCAGCTGTTTCAGATAGACGAGGTGATGTAAGATCTCGTGGAAGTGGAGGAGGAGAATAAGACGTTGTTGGTGATGTGATTGATGGAGGTGATAATGGTGTTGATATAAGATTTGTTACACCCATTTCACTAGGATTTGATGTTGAAGAGGAATGTGATGGAGGTGAAAGAAGTGGATTTTGTCGAACAAATTTTTCCATAATTGATATCGGAAATTTTGTTTTATCAATAATTGTATTTATTTCTTCATATAGTTCATATGTATTCTATTAAAAATGAGATTAATTGAAAAAATTCTCGATTATATTTTCTTACTCTTTCGGGAGACGAATTTACTATATTGAGAATAGAAAACAAATATTAGATAGGGATAAATTTTATTTAAATCTTACCATTGGGTATTGATCTTGTTCGTTTTATGAATTTTGTATCGTGATGTTGTGTTTGATTATCAATAATAAAACCCTGAAATGAATCAAGACAATCCTTATGTTTATTAAGAATACGAAAAAAGCAAAAAGAGAAAAAATTGCAACTCAAACACGCACACATAGAATAGAAAGATTGTTAGTGTCGTATTTATGACATTGACAGTTACAAACATCTTAATACAATCTTTCGCCTTTTTTTTTATCGTCGTCTTACTATACGAGTAAAAAGAGAAAAAGGGAACTTTTTTCGCATTAGTTTACCACAAAATAGACTGATTGCAAAGAATTACAATAGAACATGAGAAATCATTCATTTCGGGGTTTTTTTTCAAGTAGAGATCTCATCTCAAAAAAAGTAAAAGAGAATGAGAAGAGAAGAAAAAAAACGAAACCTAAAGAGAAATAACATATTTCGAATTCATTTTATATTTGTCAAAAAAAAAACGAAAATTCTTAAAAAATAACACATCACATGACTTAATGATTAAAAATCTATACATACTTGTTTTGAGTGATGATTGTTATTATCGTTTATAACATGTTTCTGTGAGTTTTTATAATCATTTTTTTTCTTCCGATTAATATAACGATGTGTTGATGCTAATAAATAATATACATACAAAAGAAATTATATAATCAATTCATTGATACAATTAAAGAACGAATTGATTAGGGCTTCTCTCTTTTACGAAAACAACGGACATATAGATGATAAAGTGAAAATGTTTCGAACTCAACCGATTCCTTTTGTTGTACGATATAGACAGACCAATTTTAAAAATACATCAATAATACCAACATTTTCTTTCAATCTTTCGTTCTCTTTCTGTAAGTAGGATCAAACCGAGAGAAAAAATGAAGTCAACAAGGTGCGTAGACGGTAACGAACGGTATTATTTGTTCATCGAGATTCATTCTCTCTATGGTTATATTGAGAAGAGGATGAAAAAATCAGGAGTACATTTACAGACTAAAAAAAGATTATATGTGTCAATGGTAACTATTCGATACTGATGCTATGGTTTTTCTTTCTATCAATAAATATAGATAAAAAATAGATGATAATCGATTAATTATCATATAGGAAAAATTGAATGTACATGTGAGAAAATTACTTGTTAAAAATGTTCATGTAATCTGTTAAACAAGGATTGAAAATTTAAGTGATTTGGTTTCTTCGAGTGAATAAGTGAAAATTTCAAGTAGGACAAACAAAATGTACAATTATTGCATAAACGTAGAGATTTTCTTTCTTCTACTCATTTTAATATGATAATTAGTGAAATATTGACAAAGAAAAAGAATTTTGCTCTCACTTATCTTTCGATATTTATGTTATCTATTTCAATGACTAATACCTTCAGATTTGACAATTCTCAGATTGATTTATAACAGACATAATAAAAATGTTCTTGTGTACTATATCTCGTTTCTATTGAATTATGATATGGAAAAGAGAACAGAAGAATTTATATAATCACTTTCTAATCCTTCGGCTCCAAGCATTTCTTATGGTGACTTGGATTTTTGTAGAAAAGTCCAAAAGTGACAGACTCAAGGACTAGCGTGACAGATAGATTTCGTTGAGCTCTATCAAATGGTGCATCTTTTCTGTAAAAATTCAAATTTTCTATAGGAAATACTTTGAACGTATATATGTATCGCCGAGAGGCAAAGGATTAGTTATAAGTTCTTCAGTATTTAACTTTAAATAACTAGAAAATCTTGTTTAAGATTATCGGAAGAATAATTTTATAAGATTTCCATAATTTTTGTTTTGTTTAAAACATAAAAGCAAAACAAAAAAGGAAAATTGATAAACACAAACCCATCAATTCAATATGTGCTTTAAGTACATTCATAAGAGCATCTAACTTAAAATGATTAATAGATTGAAATTTCTTAGAAACAAATACGATACAAACCATTAGCTTCGTATAATGCAGATATGGGTACTTGTTCATCTGATGTTTCCACTTCATCACTATATCCAACATCCTCATCATAATCTGATGAATGTGAGGCAGATTCAGATGATTGATTATAATAATATTGCAGATTATCTATTTGAATTGGTGAAAATAATGAATCATCAAGACCAGTTACAGCTCTCGTAGAACCAAGTGAATGTGATAATGATGATGACATATTTTATTTATAAATATCAATCTAAAATCACATTGATAATTCAAAATATTTCATTGATGGAAAAGTAAATCTATCACTATAAACGAACTACATAGTTTTTAAAAAAAGAAAATATTATTGGTAAGTTTTGTGGAATAGAAGATTAATGGACATCTTATCCTAGGAGATTTACGAAATGTGACAGTTTTACTTTTTTTTTCTTACATTATTGCCAATTTTTTTCATGTGACATAATCTTAACTGAAGTTGTTTTTGTTCTTATCGTGGATAATAAGAGTAAAATAAAGCAAACATTTCTTACTCGTCGAGACCTTTAATTAAACATAGAAAAGAAAACGAATCAAAAACAAATGATAATTAATCATGGACAACGTCAGTTTTAATATGAACAATTCAATGAAGTAAATAATATTTTTTTGTCGTTTGATTTTTGAATTTAGACTTATATATATATATGTATGTGATAAATGAATTTATAGGTCTAGACGTGATTGAAATTTTTTGTTTTGATATGAAAAAGTGAAATATTTATATAGGTTTCATTAATAAGCTCATTTCAAGGTATTAGATGCCAGAGAAATACAAAAGTGCTCGTATTTATCAACAGTAAAGATGTTATTTTTATCAGACATGTTAAATATGTTGAGTGTTTAATTGCAATATATAATATGAACATTGTGAAAATTATTTTACTTGTTCATTTTTATGCAGTTTGAAATTGTGTAAAAATCGATACTTTAGAAATATATTCAATTCTTCTATTTTTTTTCAGAAAAATAAATATCCATAGAAAAGTAAGTTGAAATTTCTTCTTGTATATTTTACTCCTATCATATAATAAAATATAAAATTCTGTATTATTATAGAATCGAGTGATGTACGATTTTTCAAATATTCATTTAGCTCACCTTGTATTAAATATTGTCGAGCCATATAAAAACTAATCATTATCATCGAATTAAATATTACCTTTAATTTTAGATATCGTTCGTTGTTGTTTTTTACATTGGCTATAATTCATAGAGGGAAAAAAATCAATAGTTCCAGAAACGTTTTATTTAGTGAATCTTTTATTATATTGTAAAGATTTATCCCTATTCAAGTGTTCTTTACTTTTTATACCGTTCCTTTTCAAATCAATATGCATAGCTTTGTTATCTAAAGCATTGCTCATAGATTTTATTGAAGTTTGTAAGCATGTGATAATCAAATATACACTTTAGTAAAATTCTTTTTTTTTAATGTTAACAGTTAAACAATATGCAAAGCACACAAAATTCAGTAATAAACACGCGTAAATAGTTAGAATAAGTAGAAGAAAAACAAAACAAACAATATATCTTTTTGTTTTATTTCCCCATTTGAAAACATTCATAAATACGCACTACAGAAACAAATAATATAATGTTATCCTATGATATAGAAGAACAAAAGAGACAGAACAAGAAAAAAAATTGAATTTTATTTTTTTTATTTCAAATGTTTGATTATTTTCTATGATGAACGATGACCATCGGCAGTTGTAGTTCGTGCATAATCATCATATATTTTCATTTGTCGATCAATCATCTGTTGGCCACGATGTGTTGCAATAACTTGCATTAATTCCGGGCAATTTTGTTTTGTTGCAACATCAACAATACTTTCTTTTTTATCATTCATCCAACTTATTTCACCTCCATTTCTTAAGAAAAACAAATTTTGATTTCTTTGCTGTTTTAAAAGCAGACTTGTTAAAATAAAACACTTACTTTAAAAGAGTTTTTAAGGGTTCAACACCATTATATCCAAGTAAACAACATTCATGCAAGGCCGTATTACCACGTCTGTAAGAAAAAAAGAACCGAAAGAATTAATTTACATTTCGTTACTACACATATTAAAATAACGTTTTCTTTTTTCTAAATCAAGAAATTTAATAAAATGCAAATAAGAAATTGAAAATTGAAGTGAAAAGTTTACGGTTACTATTTAAATAAACCTTGAACATATTTATTTATTCTTTATAAAGAAATTCAATTTGTCAAGTAGTCAAATTCGGCAACAAATCATGGCCGATTTTTTCTCAAGTATGATTCAATTATTAAACTATATATATATTGAAATTTCTTAACTTACGGTCCTCGTTTATCTAATTGAGCTTTGCCAATTTTAATCAATGGTTCCAAACATTCGTTATGACGATTACGTACAGCTAATTGAAGAACGGTAAAACCTTCTTTATTACGTAAATTTGCATCGGCACCTTCTTTCAATAATTGTTTCACTTCTTCTAATACATCAACACGATTCGAAGATTTTTTATTATCGTCACCACCTTTTCTTTCAAGTAATTTTAATAAAGCTCGATTTGGTTGCTAAATAAATTAATAAATAATAAAATATCTATTAAATTAATCTATTTATTCTTACACTATCACTACCAGCAGCACTAGCTGATTGTGGTCGTTTTTTAGGACGTCTTTTGCCTTTCGTTGATTTTGTTTTTTCTCTAGTATATTCATCTAATTAATAAATACAAAAAAACTAATATTAATTTAACAATAGATATGCATAAATAACTCTACCATCTGAATTAAATGTACTGGAAAATGTTGAACTTCGTTCACTATTCATTGCATACTGTCCAATTGTTTCATCAATATAAAAAGCCGATTGAGAAAGATTTTCTGGTTTACGAAATACAGCTTGAACTGTTACTTGATATTCATTTTCATGTACATTTGCATGAATCATTTTACCCATACGAGGTTCACCTATATAGATCAATGTAAATAATGTTCTTCAATATAGAAAATATTTTTTAAGATTCGGCTCAAACAACAGTAATCCATATCAGTATATTAAATCATTTCTCTTTTATGTTAAGAATGAATAACTCAACTTTAATATTTTAAGAGATTTTTAAGAAATAGAAGTTATGTGAATTTATCTATTACCGATTAGTGATCGAAAATCAGGTCGATTAACCGCATATGCTTTTAAATGAGCACAAACATGATCCATTTGTTGTCTCCAATAACCTTTTCCTGGACTAACAGCTGTTAATATTGGTCGACGATCTTTAAATTCTTGATTTGCTTGTAATGTCCTATTTTGTGCAATTAAAATATCGATGTCTTTTGCACTTGGATAATAAATTCCATGTGTTTGCGTTGTAGCTTCACTCTTTGTTATCAAGTAAGGTTGACGATAATGACTAAATGTTGCATTAGCATTCAACCATGTTGGACTAGCCGAATGACGTGTTAAAGTCTGTTGAAGAATTTAAAACAAACTTTGTTTCTTCCATATTCAGAAAAAATGTTTTTACTTACACCAGCCAGCATTCCTGGTGTTGAAATATTCAGATCATTTCTAAGATTTGCATCAATAACACGTAATGGTGGTTCAATAGTGCAACCACATGTTAAACAAAACTTTGCATATGGATCATTTTCTGCACGACATTTTGTACATTGTATTGGTACAGATGCTCGTTCTGGTTGTGCACCACACCAATCACAATAACGAGCATCTGCATTATTTAAACGAAAACATTTTGAACATGTCATCATTGTACCTGTTGCTTTAGGTGCCAATGGAATCGAAACTGTTGCTTGAACTTGCTGTTATTATACAAAGAAAAAAAAAGTTATCAGAATAATCCTACTCAACTAATATCTCTCATGAGGAACGTGAAATAGCGTATATAAATTTTTACTCATATAGTGCATCACTTCTTTTAGTTTATATTTTTAATAAAAGATATAAATATATGTATATTTACTGGTGATGTACTTGGCATTAATTTACATTCACAAATAATACATGTGCGTAAATGTGTTGGATTTGTTGCTTTGCATTGTGGACATAAAATTTTTGTCTTAAAATAAAAGAATCTTATTGATTTTTTTTCTTAATTAAAATAAAACCTGATTTTGAACATTAATTCGATGTTGATATTCAGGTGATAAGGGAGTTTCACAAACTACACATATACTTGAATTAAATGGAACTGTTGATTTACAATTAGCGCATGTACCAAGCTAAAAAACAGAAAATAATCGATGAATTTTATAAAAAATATTTTTATATTATCAATTACTGAATGCCCATCTGGTTGATTTAATCGAGGTTGATTAAGTGTAACATTTTGCCATGGAAGCCCACATTCAGTACAAAATCGAGCATATAAATCGCCTGTTCTTGGTGCAAAACAATGAGCACAACTGAGAATAATAAAATAAAATAGAAAATTTATTGATTTGATTTGTTTTATTGACAAACCGAAGAAAGTCTGTTTGTTTTTGAAGACGACCTGCTTGTGCTTGTGCATCAGGAGGTGTATGACGCGGCGGTTTTTCTTGTACAAATGATTCAGCAGCTGAACGATGCATTGATTCTAATAAATAGATAGTAAGAAAAAACTTAAATCGAATTTTTTATTTTATTATACCAGCCAATTTTTGTTGCATTTGTTGATTTTCATCTTGAATTTTTCGTATTAATTCCTATAAAACGGATCAATAGATAATAATCATGATATATTTGCTCTATCATCGATCATTGTATAGTTAAAGATTTTATTATATAACTTATAGTTCAATGCTCGTTTCTATGCACACGTCAAAGTTCAAGTTTTTTTTTACTTCCTGCATTATCAATAGATGTATGTAGTTGTTAATTATTTATTTATCAATCTGCCTACTTCCTGCGGAAATCAGTGCTATTCGTTTGAAATAAACTCGATATGAATTGTACAGATGTATGAACTTTATTTTTTGTTAAATATTCGAATAAAAAATGAATATTTACGACATAGAAAATTTTTCGTTCTATTTCGCGTAGATAATAAACGATTCTTTTTTTTTATTACGATATAAATTTTATCTTTCGAAATTGATAAATAAAACTAACGTTTTTATTATTCCTCAAGTCATTACAAAAATCAATCGGTTTTTTTTACTAATAATTATTTATGTATTTTCTAACCTTTCTTTCTTGTTGTAATTCATATA